TCATTCATTCGTTCATACATTCATACATGCAAACGTACATTCATTTATCAATCTTTCAATCAAGGTAGGCTTTTGTAAACTTTGAAAAAGAGATCGTCAGGTTGGTCCAAACGATACGAAATAGTTGTTTCTTTACGTTTCGGTATTTCGATATGATACGAGACACCTGTAAACTGTAGATTTTGACATTTCGATACAAAACGAGACACTGGCAAACTGTAATAGAGAATGAAAAAGTAAGGAAACAATAATTCCTTGTCTGAAAGTAGTAGAAAAACTCTTCGATGTTTTTCATCAAATGTAGTACATTTATCATTTTTTTGTTGATTGGTTGTTGTTGCTGTTGCTGATGTTGTTGTTGAGAATGATGATGATGTTGTTGTTGTTGATGATGATGTTTTTGTTAAGAATGATGATGATTTTGTTGTTGAAGATGATGTTGTTGTTAACGTTTTTTGTGACGATGTGCTATTGTTGTTGTTGTTGTTGTTTTCAAGTTATAATTTTAATGTGATCAAATTAGTTGTTGATGATGATTTTCTTTCTGTAAAATTTGCAACTTTCAACAGCTGAACACACAATTCAAAACATCGAAACAACAACATGACAACGATAACTACAACATGTCAACGGCACGACAACAACCACCACAACAACAACAGCCAAAACAGAATGACAATTAAGACAAGGACTGCGTGTCTTAATTATTATAAACCATCAGAACATCACGTCACGACAACAACGACATCAACAACGACAACATACATCCTCATCATTAACAACAACAACATTAACAACAACAAAAACTCAAAAAGAACAACAACTTAATCACGTGACGACAACAAAAACAGCAACAACAGCAGCAGCAATCTTAGCACCTTTCTTTGTTCTCAGTCAATATTTATGTTTACGTTACTAATGAATAATCTTCAGTACAAACCTGCATACATACATACATACATACATACATACACACATACATGCACACACACATATATACATACACATACCTACATACATACATGCATAAATACATACATACATACAAACATATATACATACATACATGTCACAGTGGTAATCAAATTGGCTTATAAAAAGCAAAGTACCTCTATAGCACATCATCAAATGTAATAATGGAAAAAAAGAAACATAAATTATGTATATATATATATATATATATGTATATAATATATATATATATATATTTGTATATATATATATATATATCTGTATATATATATATATATATCTGTATATATATATATATATATGATGCCAATATTTCATATAAATATATACAAAGATTTATATCCTCGTTAAAAAAAAAAGATTTATATATATATATATATATATATATATATATATATATATATTTCTCACTTATAAATATTTATGTAAATACATATACACCATGTATATGTATGTATGAATGTATGTATTTATGTATGTATGTATGTATGTATGTATGTATGTGTGTATGTATGTATGTATGTATGTATGTATGTATGTATGTATGTATGTATGTATGTATGTATGTATGTATGTATGCATGTATGTTTGTGTATGTATACACGTATGTATGAACTTATTGCACGTATGTCAGTCTGACATTAAATAATGAATTTTGTTAAAATAAGAAATTTATTCAATTGAATATTTTTTTAACGTAAGGTAACGTAGCATGACATCAAGATACTGACATCAATAAAATGAGTGACATACATTTAGATTATCATCAACAACAACAGCAGCAACAACAACAACAGCAACAACAACAACAGCAACAATTTTGCCATCCTTCATTTTCTCCCCAGCAACAACACCACTACCAACGAACGCACGTGCAACGAGACACCGATTTAACTACACAAAACTCAAAAATGACAAGAGCAAAAAAATCCACCACAACAAAAACTACAACAACGGAAACATCAGCAACTACAGCGACGACAAACCCGATCTTTCGTCTGTTCACCTTAGAAACAGTTTCAAGAAACTTGCAACAGCAAAGTGACTCGCGTCGTGAGAAACAACAACAACAACGCGACCACCACGAACGAAGACTGGCCGCTAAGAAGAGGCGGAAGAAATTTAAGCAACAACTTCGGCAACAACAACAAAACGATCAGCGTCAACAATACACTGAACAACAACAGCAACAGCAACAACTCATTGAATTACAACCACAGCAGCAACAACCTCAACAGCAAAATGAGTATCAACAAAATTTACATGAGGAATTTAAACTTAACAATGAAGATGATGCAATAAGTAAAAAACATCGCGGAGATCGGCTAGAACAATCACCTCACAAAATTTCAACATCATCAACAACAACATCAACAACAACATCATCATCAACAACATCGTCATCATCAACAACAACAGCAACAAAAGCGGTCTCAAAAAGAATAAGTCTTTCAATCCCATTCTTCCAAACGAAGTTCGCCTCGGCAGCAACAGCATCCGCCAACAACACAAACTACCCACATTTAAACCAACTCATTCAGCAACACAAACAACAACAACCACAACAAGACAACAACGATCAATCGCCTAAGAAACCCGCCCAAGACAATCCGGAAAAGGAAGAAGAAAAACCTAAACCCAATAGCCAATTAGAAGCCGGAAAAAAGTTGCCCCGGAAGTTGGGTTCATTTCCGGTTGAACTATTTGGCAAACCGATAGAAGAGTTGGATGAATACTACTTGGATAAAAATGTTAGTTTTGAGTTTGATTTAGTCATATAATTCATATTATCGTCTATTTTTTTAAAGTTAAATGAATGAATGAATGAATGAATGAATGAATTATTTCATCGATATAATTGTCATGATCTTTGGTATATTGTCATCGTCGTCGTCATCATCATCGTCGTCATCATCTTCGTCGCATTTTGGTATTCAGACTTTCATGGTCATAGCTAGAGACAAGACAATATACAGGTAAGTTATGTGCGCTTGCATGCATGTATGTATGTATGTATGTGCGCATGTATGTATGTATGGGTGGATAGATGGATGGATGGATGGATGGATGGATGGATGGATGGATGGATGGATGGATGGATGGATGGATGGATGGATGGATGGATGGATGGATGGATGGATGGATGGATGGATGGATGGATGGATGGATGGATGGATGGATGGATATTTGTTTGTATGTATATTTGTACGGATGTAATATCATTATAAATATTTTTTTAAATATAAATAAGTAGCGTAATTAAATCATTAATATTTGAAGTACTTTTGAAATAATTTTAAAAATGTTTTCAGATTTAGCGCTACGAAAGGACTTTTCTTGCTGAGTCCCTTCAACCCGCTAAGGAAGTTATCCATCTTCCTCTTAACACACCCATATCTTTTTGTAGCTCAATATATTTGAGCGATGTATTATTTTTATCATCAACTTTTCTGTCATGGCTCATTATTTTTGTAATTTCTTTTGTCTATGTTATTTATGCCTTTATTTATGTCTTTGTTGATGTCATCATTTTTCTCATCGTCGTCGTCATCGCTGTAATTCAATCACCATCATCATCATCATCATAATTGTCATCATCATTATTATCATCATTTTTACTAAATTAACTGGTATTATTTAACACAAAAAACCATTCATTCACTAAAGCTTTGATTCATTCATCCATTTATCCATTCACCATTCATCTATCTATCCATCTATTCGTTTATTCATTCATTCACAAATTCATTCATCCATCCATTCATTCATTCATTCCTTAACGCAAAATTATAACACGATGTTTAGCCTATTAGTTATGTTGGTCATTTTAGTGAACTGCATTTTCATGGCCAGCAATCAAGAACTGCCCAGTTCGGAGTTAGTGCATAAATTAACATAAATTAAAATATATTAATGGCTAAAAATAAAAAAACAGTTAAAAGTTTTAAGGGCTCATAGCTTTGAAAATTTTAAAAATAGATTCAATAGATATATTTAAGTAGGGTTTTGTGTGTGTACGTGTAATTGTGTATATGTGTGTGTGTTTTTGTGTGTGTGTTTGTTTGTGTGTGTGTGTGTGTGTGTGTGTGTGTGTGTGTGTGTGTGTGTGTGTGTGTGGGCATCGCGCGTTCACATATACACATGTGTAATGTAAAATCTAAAAAAAGGAAAAAATGGAAGCCTAATTGTATTTGTCGATATAAAAATAGAACTAGAAAAAAGAAGAGAGAGAGAGAAAGAAAGAGAAAGAGAGAGAAAGAAAGAGAGAAAGAGAACGAAAAGAGAAAAATAAAAAATAAAGAGGTATAGAAAATAATAAGAGAATAAACGATAATAAATGAGGAGGAGAAATGAGGAGGAGAGAAAAAAGTGGAAAAAAGAGAAAGTGAGTAAGATAAGAAAGAAAAGAGAGAGAGAGAGAGAGAGGAAAAAAGAGAGAGAGGAAAAAAATAGGAAGAGAAGAACAAAGAGAGAGATAGCAAAAAGAAAAGAAGTAAAAAATATGTATTTACAAATAGACATAAAAGTAGTTACGGCTGGGAAATGGTAATTAAACAATGCGCATGGATTTTTTTAATGTATTTCTTTTGTACGTATGTATGAATGTATGTATGTGTGTGTGTGTGTGTGTGTGTGTGTGTGCATGTATTTATGTATGTGTGTGAGAGTATGTATATATATATGTATGTGTGTAACACACACACACACACGCTCACAAACACACACACACGTTCACAAACACATACACATACATATGCACACGTACATACAGAGCAGTCTTCACAGGAATATACACAGTTGAAAGCCTGGTGAAAATTCTTGCCAGGGGTTTCATATTCAGTAACTTCACATATCTGCGGGACTGTTGGAATTGGCTTGACTTCATTGTCGTGTCTTTGGCGTAAGTTGTCGTGTAGTTTCGTGTGCGTAGGTTGCTGCGTGTTTCTGTATTTTGAGATGTTTTTGTGGTGTGTTTGTTTTCGTGTGTGTGTAAGTGAGTGTGTGTGTTTAGATTGTTGTCTGTGTGTTTAGATCGTTGCGCGTGTGCGTGTGCGTGTGTGTGAGAAAAATGAAAAAAGGAGAGGGTATTTTGTGGTGTGTGTGTATGTGTGTGTGTGTGTGTTCACATTGTTGTGTGTGTTTTGGGGAGTGTTAATATCTGCCACTTAAATAAAAATATACATGCATACACTCTTTTACATACACACACACACACATACACACATACATACATACATACATACATATATATACGTTGGTAATAGACCATAATTTTTACAATATTCTATAAATTCTACCGAATGTTTGGCG